TGGATCAAGGATCTATCAGCTCTACAGAGAGATCTGCACAATTCATCAGGGTAATTAGACTGTCTTTAACTATTTTACGAAATTGAGGTTGCTATGGGATGAATTTGATGCATTTGTACCTCCACTATCATGTAACTGTGATAAATCGAAAACATATATAGATCACATGGCATACTTAAGGTTGTTTGCTTTTCTGATGGGATTGAGTGAAGTATATGGTCAGGCGAGAAGTCAGATCCTAATGATGAATCCACTACCAAATGTTAGCAAAGCTTATGCTATGATAATGGCAGTTGAAAGTCAGCGTACAACTGCGGGGACTCATTCTAGTAGAGAACCATTGGATTCAGTAGCCTTATATGCAGGGAAAGGACCTCCTCAAAGAAACTTTCAACAGAAGAAAAAAAATTGGGATCAAATTTGTGACTATTGCAAGTTGCAAGGACATGTTAAACTGAACTGTTACAAATTGAATGGATATCCACCGGATTGGAAGTTTAAGAAGACGACTGGACAATGAGTTGATCAGGGAGGAACCAGTCAGATGCAGGGATTATAAATCACTGACAAACAACACCAACATTTGGTCAACTAAGTGAGATGTGAGCAGGATCCTGATGCATTTAGACCAAGAGCTTTGACAACTGCAAGATATGAGCAAGCTTCAGATGCACTTGGACCAGGAGTTTTGGCGACTCATCCTACTTTCACTCAAAGGCAATACCAAAGAATTATGCATATGCTGGACAAGGAAGAGTGAGAAACAATTGATAACACTGTGGCAAATATAGCTATGACAGGTATGAGTCCAATTACTCAAGCCTTTTCTGTGAATGATGCAAAAGAAAGCTGGATAGTTAATTCAGGGGCTACGTGTCACATGACTTCTAAGCTAGGAAGGTTAACTCACAGTAGAAATTGTGTAGGTAGAAGAGTGTATCTACCAAATGGAGAGACTACTACAATAACACACACTGGGAATTGTGACATAACTACTGGTGAATCCATAAAAAATGTCTTAGTAGTTTCTGCCTTTAATTGTGATCTGCTTTCAGTATCTCAAATCACAAGGCAATTACAGTGCTCAGTTAACTTTCCTGAGTTTGTTGTTTTCCAGGACCTCTCAAATGGGAGGGTGAAGGGGATTGGTAAGGAATTGGATGGATTGTATTACCTTCTAGGTCGACCAACACGTGGAGAAAATAAAGCAATTGAGATGCTACTGATGGCACAAGATGGAACACTAAATGGTAGATTGTTATGGTACAACAGGTTAGGTCACCCTTCAACAAAGGTGTTGAGACAACTGTCATTGTCTTTGAGTGATATAAATGCTGTTTGTGATAAATGTCCTGTGTGTCCATTAACAAAACAAACCAGATTTCCTTTCAGTTTAAGCTTGTCTAGAAGTACTTCTATTTTTGATTTGTTTCACTTGGATGTTTGGGGACCATATAAAGTGATGACTTACAATGGTTATAGATTCTTCTTGACTATTGTTGATGATAATTCTAGAATGACATGGGTGTATTTGCTTAAATTGAAGAGTGATATGTTTCAGACCTTACAATCCTTTCTTGCATTTGTTCAAACTCAGTTTAAGAAACATATAAAAAGGGTGAGATCTGATAATGGAACTGAATTTTTTAACAAAGAATGCAATGACTTGTTTAGAGAACAAGGGATAGTTCATAAAAGTAGTTGTCCCATACACTCCACAACAAAATGTAGTGGCAGAAAGGAAACATAGACATATACTTGAAGTATCCAGAGCACTTAGATTTCATGGACACATCCCTCCTAGGTTCTGGGGAGAATGTGTTTTTGCAGCTGTGTATTTGATAAATAGGCGTCCAACAACAGTATTAAAGGGATAGACCCCCTATGAAGTTTTTCATAAGGTGAAGGCTAAGCTAGATCATCTGAAGACATTAGGATGCTTGTGCTATGTGACAAAAGTGCCTAAAACTGACAAATTTTCCCCTAGAGCAGATGCTTGTATTTTCCTGGGTTATTCAGTTACTCAAAAAGGATACATATTGTATAACTTTAGTTAGAAAATGATGTTAGTTAGTAGAGATGTTATTTATAAAGAGGATATATTTCCTTTTGAAAAGATGAGTAAAAAATAGTTACCCCTATTTCCAGTTAATGATCTGACACTTCAAGAGGATGACATTCATGAAGTAAATCCTCAGTTCCCATATGAGGAGATATTTCCTGATGTTGCCTTACAGGATATGAGTACAATTGAAGGGAATAATCATGTTCATTATAATGTTGCTGAAGATCATGTTGATCACAATGTTGCTGCAGAAGGAGGCCTAGACAGTCACTTAGAACATCTCATCTACCTATATGGATGAAGGATTATGTGACACAAGTATCCGATTCAAGCCAGCCTTACACACTTGGAAACTATGTCTCATATCAACACATTTCTCCAAATTATCTGCATATCTGTCCAAATTCTCCATAGAGGTTGAACCTAGGAGCTATGAGGAGGCAATTAAGGATCAAAGGTGAAGATGGTCACTGTTAGATCAATAATATCATTAGCTGCTGCTGAACATTGGGTTATTTACCAAATATATGTATTTAATGCCTTCTTACAAGGTGATTTGTTTGAAGAAGTGTATATGGAATTGCCTAAGGGATTTCTACCACAGAGGAATAATATTGTATGCAAGATGATTAAGTCTCATTATGGACTTAAAACAAGCTACCAGACAATGGAATGCAAAACTTACAACTGCTCTTTGTAATTCTGGGTATACTCAGAGTCACTTGGACTACTCCTTATTTACTAAGAGGAAAGGCACTAAGCTGGTCATTATTTTAGTGTATGTGGATGACCTGTTGATTACGGGAAATGATACTGGTTTGATAGAAGAGACTAAATGTGTGTTACACAGTCATTTCAAGATTAAGGACTTGGGAGAGCTTAAAACTTATTAGGCATTGAATTTCTTAGATCAAGTAAAGGGATACTGATGAATCAAAGAAAATACGCCTTGGAGTTGATATATGAGGTAGGACTGGCAGCTGCTAAACCAGCCCTTACACCTTTAGAATGTAACATGAAGATGACTAGTGTGGAGTATGATGAGGACACTGATATCCATGATGGTTTGTTTGAAGATGTAAACGGGTATCAAAGACTGATTGGGAAGCTATTATATATTACTAACACCAGGCTAGATATTGCCTGCTTGAGTCAGTTCGTGCAGCAACCAAAGCTCTCACACTGGGATGCAACCTTAAGGGTAGTGAGATACATTAAGGTTGATCCAGGTAAAGGGTTATTGTTGAGTTCAGTTCAGAAGCCTCAACTTACAGGGTTTTGTGATGCAGATTGGGCTGCTTGCCCAAATACCAGAAGGTATGTCACTGGTTTTATATTGAAGTTTGGTGATTTCTTGATTTCGTGGAAGTTTAAAAAACAAAACATAATATCCAGAAGCTCTGCAGAAGCAAAATATAGAAGTCTAGCAACTTTGACTGCAGAGATAGTTTAGGTTACAAACCTGTTTCAAGAGTTAGTGGTAAAATTGTTAGGACCAACCAACATTTATTATGACAGTAAAACAGCTATACAGATTGCTGCTAATCCTGTGTTTCATGAACGAACTAAACACATCGAAATTGATTGTCACTTCATTCGAGAAAAGATCCAAGCAGGATTGATCAAGACCAATTACATCCATACCAAGGACCAATAGGAAGACTTATTGACAAAGGCACTTGGAAGATCTCAACATGAAACACTTGTTGCCAAGCTTGGATTCTTGATCTTGTTCAATAGATCCAGCTTGAGGGGGAGTGTAGGAATTGGGTAAATAATTCCTTTACTAGTCAGTAAATTAATTAAGTTGATTAGTTGAAATGCTAGTTAGAAGGTGGGGTCCACAAGGTAGTTAGTTGGTTAGTACGAGTTGATACTGTGTAGTATGTATATAAAGTACTATTCATTGTAAATGTAGTCAGTTAATCTTGCAATATAAATTTCTCTTCTTCTCTCCTCTCAATTCTTAGATTACAGTTTCCTTACTTTCATTAAGCTTCATCAACACTATGTCACTCAAATGTGCAATTCAACTTGGAATACCAGATATCATACACAGTCATGGCCGAGCCATGACCCTTGCCGATTTAGTAAATGCTCTCCCTATCAACAAATTGAAAGGTCACGATTGTATTTATCGTCTCATGCGTATTCTAATTTTGTCCTGGTTGATAGCTATTACATAATTACATTATTCATCGATTGTCAAATTATATTCCTAAGGATTTAAATGGTAAAAACAATTGCGTATTGTGATTTTTTTTGACAAATTAACAATTGCGTATTGTGAATCTTTTTAGATAAGTATCACAAATAGTGTGATTCCCCCCTCATCAGTGTGTTCCTTTCCTAATTTTGCTTTCCTATTTTACTTTTTTTTTTTCTTCATTTTTATATTCGAGTGTACCACATATGATCTCTAAGCTAAATTTAAAATAAAAATAATGAAATTTAACACTTTAATTAGATTCATACCCTAGTCATATGGGTGGTTCGAGGTCTTGTATCAGTAGCACAAGAACACTCATGTCCTCCTTATGGGTACACTATTAATAATATATCATATTTTCTGCCAGTTTTTCAAGATAAATATACATATATACACATGATTTTTTTTCCGAAGTTAACGAGGTGGGTCCGCCTCTGCATCTAATACTATATTCGTCCTTTTTCTTTATTTGAGTTAATTTTCTTGCTTTCTTTTTTCCATTTTTATTTTGGTTTCTAATACGTACTAGACTCTTTATTCACTAACTTAGAATGCTTTTTTCTTTCTTCAATTTCCATTTTAAAGTGTAAAAGATGTCTTGCCTTTCAATTTCTTTATACTGTAATTTATAACTTTGTTTTCTAGTTTTGTCTTGGCTCATTCTTTCTTCTTATAAATAATATTTGCCTCAATCATTATTACTACAACTCTAAGTATCTCAAAAATATGACAACATTGTGTAATAATGATATTAAACAAGTATTGGCTGCTAAGGCACACATATGGAACCATACATTCAACTACGTTAGCTCCATGTCATTCAAATGTGCAATTCAGCTTGGAATTCCAGATATCATCCATAGCCATGGGAGACCCATGACCCTATCTGATTTAGTGAATGCTCTCCCTATTGACAACAAATCGAAAGGCCAGGATTATATTTATCGTCTCATGCGTATTCTAATTCATGATGGCTTCTTTTTGCAAGAAGGAGATGGTTATTTACTTACTCCAAATTCACGTCTCCTCCTTAAAGATGAGCCTTGGAACATACTCCCCTTTGTGCAATTTGGACTAGACTCAATCGTAATTGATCCGTTTCACTATCTCAGCCAATGGTTGCAAAATGGAGAGTACTCTTCTACTCCATTTGAGACTACTAATGGAAACAGAATCTTTGAGAAGGAAACAAAAATTAACCATCTATTAAACGAAGGCATGGCTTGTGATGCCCGTTTGGTCGTGAGTGTGTTGATTCAAAATGGTAAGGGGCAACTTTTTGAAGGGTTGAAATCGTTGGTAGATGTTGGAGGGGGTACTGGAACCATAGCTAAAGCTATTGCGGATGCATTTCCACAAATAAATTGCACTGTCTTTGAACTCCCTCATGTAATTGAAGGGATTGAAGGAAGCAAGAACCTGAGCTTTGTGGGAGGAGATATGTTTAACTCCATTCCTTGTGCCAACGCAATTTTACTTAAGGTATAGGTTTGTAATACACACGCCCCCCTTTTTTTTTGTCAATTTGATGTATAACTACATGTTTGTGTTTGATTTATTTGGCTAGTGGGTATTACATGATTGGAGCGACGAAGATTGTATACAAATATTGAAGAAATGTAAAGAAGCAATTCCAAGTAAGGAGAATGGAGGAAAGGTAATCCTAATTGAAATAGTGATGGATCAAAACAAAGACGACGATAAGTCATATGAAACTCAACTCTTAATTAATATGCTGATGATGGTGATTCTAAGTGGAAAAGAAAGAAACCAACAAGAATGGGCAAAACTCTTTTTTGATGCTGGTTATAGTGACTACAAGATTATTCCTATCTTAGGATTAAGGTGTGTTATTGAGGTTTACCCTTAATCTACACTCTTAATTCGACCAATTAAATAAAACATGCCCCTGCATTGAGTGATCATGATGCATATTTTATTTGTCATTTCCATGTGTTAATAAAGGACCCTTTTGTGTTATGTATCCGATCCTTACTCCTCAAGTGATTACAAATAGGGGTTCATTCGTTTTTTCGGTGTGATTTTATACTATTTGGTTTGGATTTTTTGGATTTTGGTTTTAAAGAAGTGTAATTCAATTCGAACCAAAATAAATTTGGTTCGATTTGATTTTTTCAGTTTGGTTATTCGATTATACAATAATTAGAAATATAATCAAAGTTATATTTGCAATTTGAATATATATATACACACACTAATTTCTGCACACGTGCGTTGCACGTCTGTCCCATGTAATATTTAAAACGTAAAACACAATACTTAATAGTATATCAATTATAGATGTCCAAACATAAAATATAAACTAAATCATAATGAAAGACAATAACATACTCTCTCTCTCTTTCTATATATATAATTCATTTTTTTTTATTGTTCGAATTTGAAACCAAACCCAAAAAACAAACAAAGTAAATTATTAAATCCAAAACCAAACCAAAATACCAAATAACCAATCCAAATTAAAATTTGGTTTGGTTTTTCGGTATAATCCAAATAGTGCACACCCCTAATTACAACTACTTTTTTGAGACAAAGGAGTTAACATTTCCACGAGCAAATATACCTCTGGTTTATTTCTGTTGGGAAAATAATAATTTCACCCAGGATAATATCCACGCTAAATAGCAATAAAAAGAGAGTAACAACGACATTAAATATTATAACGGGGTAAATATGATACGCGGATGATTTGGTTTATTATAATACTGATAACAATTTGATAATGTCAAAAGACGACAACTCTTTTATAAGAACAACACTCTTTTATTTTTACAACTTCATGCACTACAATATTATTTTTATGCTCCCTCAGTCCCATTTTATATGTCACCTTTTTACTTTGCACTTGCATTAAGAAATGATGTAACTTTACTCTTTTACCCTTATTTAATGTTTTCTTAAGTTAACTTTATTAATAAATGACAAAATTAATTAACTATTCTATCAAGGGTATAATAGGCAAAATATGGTAATTTATGCATAAATTTTATAAAAATACAAGTATTGTGGTCCAACTATTTATAGAAAGGGATGACATATAAAATGGGAGGGAGGGAGTACTAATTTTCTCACAAACAAAGAAATAGATTATGAATTACTCTCACTGCTTTCTATTGCTTTTTCTATTTGGTGTGACTTTGAATGCTCAATTGCTACTCTATTTATAAAATAACTTAACCTCTTATTTATAAATGTGGCAACAATTTCCACCGAATTTGGCTTTTGACTGCCAACATTCACAAAGTGTGGCTGTTAATTTCCACATGGCTGCCAAACTTTGATCCTACAATTTCTTGGTAACACTGGACTTTTAAATGCTACACCATACATGTAAGGAACATTTCTTAGGTAGCTGTTCAGTCTGCAGCTCATTGATCAACAAGTTCAATATTGGGAGATTTTCCATCTTTCAGCATAAAACTCAACAATTTACTTTGACATGCATGCTTATGAGGAACTGATCAGTTCTTCCCTTAAAATGAAAGACATGAACACTTGTATGTTTTTACTAGAAAACGCATAAAATATTTATTACAAAACTGAGGCGCTTGAGCAACAGAAGAAGAGTTTATGAGCTATTTGAGTCAATTAGTGTTATTTTATACATTTAGCAAAAAAATGTGTTGAGTTTTTTGTCCAAACCACCTTGAGAAATAAGAAGGATGAATCTAAGTTAACTTGGATGAAGTAGTATTCTCTCAAAATTATCTTTGCTGCTTACAAACTATAATTTAAACTACAATGCAAAATTATAAATTAAAAGTTGTTATTCAGAAAGTCTGATGTCTCGCCTCAACGAAAAATATGTAGAATTTTAAAAATAAAAAGAGAAATAGGGTTTCTATCTAAACTCTAAATAGTTTAGATATATATATATATATATAGGAAAAAATAACTATCTAGACATACTTCACTATCATATATACATATTTTACCTCTAGTTTAAAAAAATTACATATAATACCATTTTTTAATAATTATTACCATATATATTAAAAAGTTAAATCAGATACATAAATCTCTTAAATATGGTATTGAATAATTATCTTAAAATTAAATCTCATTAACTAATGAGACTTTAACAATTCAAATCACTTTCTCTCACATCAAACCCGTCATTTCTCTCCCCAATCCCACTACCCAGTAGGAAGGCCAACAAGACCACAAGCAAAACCCGAGGAAAGGGGAGCATATCAAGAAAAAGATAGTAGAACTTGATTTTGGGGTTAATCTCTATGCGAATGAGATGAAGGAGTAGAGACTTGAATCGCGTGTTGCTAATTTACATCTCATGGGGTTAACAAACACCAAAGTGTCCAACTATGATGGAAGAGAGTTGAATTGGAATATTTTGCAATCTTCTCTTAAGACTAGATGCATTTTTATTTTTTATTTATTATTAATATGGAGGGACTATAACGACCTAATCCCGTCATTATAGAAAAGCCAATGGAGAAAAGTTTTGGGTCGGAAAACTTTTTCGTAGTAATTTGAGAATTCCTAGCCTAGTCCAAATTTGGACGAAATCGAAGTCAGTGAGGTCTAAGGAAATATGGTAGCAAATGGGAGATCTAATAATGGATTCGATCATATGAGTGAATATCTAAGATGTTAATTGAGCGAGTAGAACTCTCTAAACCGATCTTAGCGTGAATGGGTAGTTTCTGAGTGTCATAGGTTGAAGGTGTGTTGTGAAATGGGAGTTTGGGACTCTTAAATCGACTCTCTGTTTCCGTGCAAGTCGCTAGGGCGGGGCCACTGTGGCGGGATGGGGACCGCCATAGCGGGCCAGTCGTGAATTAAGTCGGAAATAAACCCTAAAAACGTCTTTATTCTGCAAACTTCGTTCTTCAGAGCTAGGAGACGACCCCAGGTGTTTTCTTGATGGATTTTCACCATTCTTGAGGCTAAAGGTAAGGTTTTCACTCCCCGAATCAGTTTTTCGATCTGTAGAATGTAAATTCATGGGTAATTATTGTTGGATGAGGGTTTTGAAGCTGTTTGGATGGTGGAAAAAAGCCCTAGCTGCATATTAGGATCATGGGTTTGGCTTAGGATTGATGATTTTGATTGTAATCTAGGTAATTAGGCGTTGTTTATTGATCCTCGCGTTATATTGATTGTTTGTAGACCAAGAACAAACGAAAAGAATTCGAAAAGGAAAGAATCAAGTATCTTAGGAGGGTTCAAGGTTTGTTCGAGGTAGGTGATGATTGTTATTTCATGTTGGTGTGATGTTTGATAGTAATTACTTCATTATAATGAATGTATGTATGCAAATGTTGCATTATTGATCACACTAATCGTAAATGAAAATGAATGAATGATTGTATGCCATAAACCAACACTTGATTGTATGATTATGAGAATGTACATTGTGATTGTGATTGTGGCTTGTTGAATGAATCGGGTGTTACGTTCCAACACACTAACTTGGATCTAGTGCCACGTTTCGGCGCATATATGGTATCGGGTGTCACGTCCGGCACACTAACTTAGATCGGGTGTCATGATCCGACACACTAACAATTTGGGTATGTGTTCCATGAGACTAAGACCATTGACTTGTCACATAGATTTGTTATTGAGAATGTGGAATTGTACATTGATCCTAAAATGATGACTGATTTAGTATATGTTCGGTATATGCATGTTTTATTCTGTTGTGTTTGTAAGAATTATTATTAATTATTGTTAATTATTTCTTACTTATGGCCCAAGTTTACTTGTAACCCAAGTAATACCATAAATAATATTTAATAAGGAATAGATCTCGTCCGTATATTGGTTACTTGATGGATGTACCAGATTAAGTTATAACCTCTATAAATTGGTCATTTCTCCACCCATTAGGGTTACTACATATTCTCTACAATAATTCTGTCGCTGACGGTTGTGGTAACATAAAGTTAGGGCAAGGAGGTAGAAACCAATTTACGACTAACGTTTCCGCTTCTCTTTGTGATGATGTCTTCCGCATCAGGTATGTGCCCCTAACAATCTTTATGTAAGATTATCATGTTCAAGATCCTGAAAGTATTTAATCTTACATGTGGCATCAGAGCCTGGATTGTTTGAACTGATAATTGTTGGGTTTTATTTGCCCTGAATTTCTTACCATAAATAGGTTTTCCTTTTAGGAAAAGGTTTTGGATTGGTTAGTCCTTTTCTTGTAGGAAAAGGTTTAGGACTCTATAAATAGAGGTTTGTTCCTTCTAACTTAATCAGCATTCACAATGTAGTCTTAAGGGCTTTGAGAGTTTTGGTTAGGGGAGAATTTGTGGGTCACAAGCTTGATACGTTATCACTTGTGTGAACCTCCCATGTATTCTGAGTGAATTGGTTGAGGTTATTTCTCTTTATATTTTGTACTCTCATGTTTATATAGTGGATTGCTCATCTTCTTTGTGAACGTGGTCTTGTTAGGACCACTCAGTACAAATTTCAGCCCGATCCAACGATTAGTTAATCGAAAAACATGATCTGAAGGTTGCTGGTCGGAATAAAAGACTGTAGCAAAAGAACCCTTTTTTCTTCTCTCTTATCTCTTGTTGAAAGCTCTCTAAAAAACTTCTCTTATGTCCTAATGTCTTTCAAAGACAATTCTAATGAGCAATCTAAAAATTATTCTCTCAAGACCATCTTCTATTTATAGAGTTGTGCTTTTCCTTACAAAGCCAAAACCAACTCCAAATAGGATTACTATTCCAATCCTTTTCCTAATAGAATTGGAAACCAAATAAAGAGAATAATTCCAATCCTTTTTCAAGTAGGATTAGGCCATGAGCCTTTGGCTGGAACATGATCAATAGCCTAACAAAAATTTGTAGGTCACAAGCTTGATACGTT